AAGTTGAGATAAGGGAGAATAGAGGATCATGGCTTTGAACCCAGAACAGAAGCATTTCTGGATGTGGAGATTCTCAGTTCTCCAGGTCATGGTTGTCCCAAAGGTGTTTGTTTTTTTTCAAAAGGCAACTGGACTTCCTTTGGTTTTCCTAGAAGACGTTTCACTTCTCATCCAAGAGAAGCACTGTAGTCTTTTCCTTTGGATTGACCCATGCTTACCAATAAATGCTCTAATTCAATTTAAAAGAGTGGTGGGCCACAGGTGGTCCGTGAGAAAATATTGGTGGTCCGCAGAGAAATGTTCCCCCTAAAACACCCCCTCCCCCGAAGCAATTAATCCAGGCTGCATGGAAACCCAAGGCTGCACCACCCACATGGCCCACGGGAATACAAGGCTGCGCTACCCAAATGGCCCGCCCACCCACTGGCCCCCACCCTTCAAGGGAGAGGGAAATCCGCCCCGGGGTGGCTTGCTGATATTGGTGGGAAAATCAGTCCCGTATTCCAGAGCTGCAGTAGTCACAAGACTGGCCCTTTGGTCATCCCAGAGCAGCTCATCCGCACAGGCCAGTCCTATGACTATTGCAGCTCTGGAATATGGGACCGACTTTCCCACCAATGTCAAGCAAGCCACTGTCAGTCAAAATTCATATTAGTGGTCTGTGGGATTTAAAATGATGAGTTTGGTGGTCCCTGAGGCCCAAAAGGTTGGCAATCCCTGGTTTAAACCATTGTTTCCCCATGCTATTCATTTTGGGCAGTCAAAGCGGTCTAACAGAAAAGGCCTTGAGGCTAAGAAGGGCCTTCACGGCACCAACATCTGATGTACATAAACTAAGTCATAACCACTTAAAAGTTTCTACGCCTTTATGGCCATTGTTACAATTCTGACATCCTCTTATAGACACTTTATAAATGCTTCCCTGGATGGGTATGACAAGTCACAGAGCTTACGAAGAACCAGGGCAGGGCAAAAAATAAACCCCACTGCTGAGCTCCAACCACCTAACATTTTATTTCTTAAGAATGTCTCTGTGGATCTATGTAGGATCCAGAGACATTGCAGATAGAGCTGATGTTTAAAGCCAATGCCTTTGGCTTGAAGTATCAAGGTTTTCTATTCGTTGCTGTTTTTTTTTTTAATTAAAACAATCTGTTAAAGAAAATGTGATTAGGAAACTTTGAGGACCAAAGAATATGTTGCAGCACTGCATTGGGCATGCAGGTTCTGTCTAAAATCCAAAAGTCCCAGACGATAGACGGGAATATCGTAAAAAGCAACTAAGCTCCTTTTAAAAGAAAAAAGAAAACTTGCAAACTGCCAAGGTATCAACTGTGATAGTTGTGTGCTTCTTTTTCCATCATTACAAGCAGGGAACTGCCTGCCAAGTTTCCCTGAACATAGAAAATGGATCTGGAAATGCAATGTATGCATCTCAAAGTTCAGTGACTTGGGTTAAATGGCTTGTAATGATGGGAAAAAAAGATATCAACTGTCACAGTTGATACCTTCTGTTGAAATGAATGAAAGGAATGTGCTGCAAAGGAAAACCGAGTGGCTGACTGTGAAGATTTTACCCCACAGCTATTGACCTAGATGCAACCAGATGTATCTTATGTTTCACGTCTTAAGCCACAATCCACGTAGGCATTGTTTGTGTGTGGGCGGGGGGGATTCCAGGTACTTTGGTTCTTTTTATTCAGGAGTATATCTGTAGCAGATTCTGCAAAAAGCAGAAAAGGCAGGCAGGGATAATCATTTGGAGAAAAACTCAGCAATTGTGTTGTCTTTTGTACTGCAGATTGCTGGGTTCCTTTCTCCTCCTTCCTTTTGGACTATGAATGATAATGTCTTTATTCCACTAAAGAGACAGATTTGTTAGAGAAACATAAGCATGGGTGAAGCTAAGATGCAATCAGGTCTAGTTGTCATAACTAGCAATAAAACTAGCCTTTTACAAGCCAGCACCCACTTTCCAATTTATTACAGGTTTGTCTTTAAAAAAAAACCAAGTATGAGACTGAAGATTCCTAATTGTACAAAACAAGTGGTTAATGAGGAGCACTTTGAGGTCAGATCCTCTTTAAAAGGGCTGCCACATAACTTTTTAAATAATTTTAATTTCTGTTCTACCTCTTTCGAGTAGCCCGACTTCAACCTAATTATGGAATTTTTCTGCCACAGTTTCAGTGGTATCATTAGTAATACTTTTGATATTCTTGTTTGCCTGGATTTCTTTTTGCTATTATTCAACTTGGGTCTTATTGGTCATTTTTAATATATTTCACTAGTTTCTGCACTAGTGAGGGTTTGGTGTATTTTGCAATAGCGTTCAACTCTTAAGATTCCTTTTTTTTAACAATCATGATTTCATTAAATTTAATTTTACAAAAAGAGGTAGAACAGAAAACTGTCCTATATGCCTTTGTCTTCAAATCGTAATGCCCTTCCAATTATTTTGGAAAAATACATCAGCCACACTTGGCATTAACCTTGAAATTTGCCCAAAATACCATCTGAGTCCCTAACAGTCATGCTCTTAGGTACCTCTAATGAGAAAACTGATTATTTTCAACTTTTACATATCTGTCCTTTATCCATGATTTATTAATTCAAAGTCCAATTTATTCTTAGAGTTCACATACAATTAAAATCAATGGTACTTTTCGAAAGACAAGTGAACTGAAAAAGATTCATGGATGAGAAGTGAAATGTTTTAAAGGGAAAACAAAAAACACAAACGTCCACTTGCCTTTTGAAAAAGCACCATGACCTAGATGATGGAGAGTGTCCATAGACAATGAAAATCAACTGGCATTGAAACCAGTTCTGTACATGTCCATATTTTGGGAGTAGCTGAGTTTTTCCTTATGCCAATTGTCATAATGATCCCAAATAGAGTGGGATTTTCATGACAGATAAATGCAGTTTTGTTTTCTTGGGCATTTGAGAGAGTGCCAGTTTGATCTACTGTTTAAGCTACAAGAGTTGAGTTTTGCCTTTTGCACGGACGTCTCTAGAATAGCCCCCTTTTCTCCACCTTAGGAGGTAAGGCAATGTGAAACGGTTCCTGACAATATTGCTAAGGAAATTACATGGATTTGTAGTTACCCGAAGTCAAGACGGACTCAAAGGTGCCCACTAAAAAAGGCATTCAGTGCTACAGTGACTCTTGGTTGACTGGCAGCACCGCCACGATCCAATGAAGATGGAAAACCTCCTTGGTATCTATTTGCTTCTTCCCAGTGCATCATTTCCCAGTCTGATGCAACTCCATCCATCCATTCAAAGGTGATGGAACAGAAACCTTTGGGGGTGGGGGGGTGCGGGGGAGACCATTGGTGATTTATATTCCTGCCTTGAAAATATTGTTTTGCAAAACATCTTTAAAAAAAACAACCCAATACATTTACGTAATGAATCAGAAGGATAACATTAAGTAACAAAAAGCCTTACCAGCATGCAATTATATTTCAAGAACTTTGGAAAATGCCATTTATATAGTGTGTGGGCGCTAATGTTGTGCTACACAATTACATTTGAATCATTCTTTCTCAGTAAGGTTTTGTTTTCTATGAGAATACAAATCAGGAATTAATTGGTTTGCTTGCGAGTAATGTTTAGCTTATACACCACTGGAACATAAGTATTAAGTTAAAGAGCTCACTCAGGTATAGTAGGCTTATTCACAGCGCGTGGCTAACTGGGGGATCTTTGGTTTCAAACGGTGGTTGTCAGAAAAATGACTTAATGGTGAAAATCCCAAAAGAAAAGTCTTCACTGATCTTTATAACATGTCAGTCAAAACTAAGATAACATCCATCTGATGAAACTACCATACAGGTAGTTCTCCACTTCTGACCACAATTGAGCCCAGAATTTTGGTTGTAAGTTGTTGAGGTCATAAGTTGAGTCACCATGTGATCCACAAATCCAACAAAACAATCCGTATCCAAAATAATCTTAGCTCTTCCACTTTGGACTAGATGTGAACCCGAGAACAGGTTTCATTTTATGCCTTTGTTCTGGTTTTGTCCTCATTTTAAAGTACTTACCTGGTGTGTCCTAGAATTTTTTTAGGATGCCAGTTCTGAAAAATGTATCAAAGAAAAGAAAGGGATTAACAATAAAGGGAAGATATATTTCCTTTCAAGTACCGTTTGTACAGCTAACTTGGTAAATCTCTTTGACATTTAATTTTTTTTTCCTTAGTTCTTTGTGGTTTGGCTCTTTGTTTTCTTTCTTTTTTTTTCTTTTTTCTTCCTTTGCCTTTTCTAAATTCCACCCACCCATCCAGTAACTAAATGCCACAACTATTGTATCCTTGGCTGGTTCTAAGAAAAACAAATACAGACTTAAGGATTTTATATTCATAGTTCGTTTGTTTTTAAAAAAAATCACATGCCATAAAGCTACTTTTCAGCTAGCCTCCGTTTTAAAAATAAATAGAAATGAATAGAATAGAAATAGAAATGACCCATTATGGGTCATTTTTTTCCCCCCTGAGGGAAGTTAAGAAGCAGATTTGTTGCCTGCAAAGATCTTTTTGAATTCTTAGCATCTTGCCAGAGCCTCATGAAGAAGGCCAGGGGTAATCCCCAGCAGTAACCTCTCTCGGCCCTGGGTCAAAGAAGAAACAGACCAACAGTTGACCCTCTGCCTCTCAATCCCTCTTTTATGGTTTCCACCAAACTCAATATCTTTAAAAACAATCCATCAACAATCAAAAAATCAAGTCTATAAGCACATTAAAGGCCAGCAAACAATCTCCATCCCTGTGCTCTTAAGTTCAGATGCCTGATCTACTTGAGGAAGAAATAGCAGGGGTCCTCAGCTGCCCCCACCCCCAAATACTCTGGGGATGATATGGAGGGAGGAAGGGTCCTCAATACAGCTTTTAGGATTAGGCTTAAGCATGCTGGCTTGAATTAAATACCCATTTAAAATGGGAGCTCCGAATATGTCGACCCTTGTTGATTTTTGTTGCTTGCATCTTACAGATTTGTTCCTGACAACGTTGTCCAAAGCTGGAGAACCTCAGTTTGAGATATGGGTGAATCAGGTAAAGAGACTCCATCGTGCGAAGTCGGGAATAATTATATTCTTATGTATTCATAGAGGCAGGGCTGATTCTACTGAATTCAGGAATAAAGAACCTGGACCTTACCGGCCATTGTCAGTGCTGGTTTTGAACTTCTGAATGTCACCTGAAGAGCAGCAATCTAGCATGGATGACAATTAAGCCGCTCAGTAGCCCCTATATATGTGTGTGTTGAGCAAGACTCCCACAGTGATGTCCTATGTAGGTTTGCTGGTATTTGATTTGTCAACAGGCTAGTTTGGGGAAGAAAAAAAATGTTCCTTATTTTGGTACTTCCTTCTTGTGACAAGGGCCAATACTTCATATTGATTCCAGTGAGACAATTTTTTTTTTCTTTTCGCTATTGGAAAAATGGAGGAAAAAATGGTTAAATGAGAAATCAGATTCCTTTCTGGATGCTAAAGTCTCAGTCTTGGACAAGGGTGTCCAACCTTAGTAACTTTTGAAGATCTGCAGACTTCAACTCCCAGAATTCCCCAGGCAGCATGGTGAATTCTAGAAATTGAAGTCCAGAGATCTTACAGTGCTGTTCTGCTCTAGAGTAGAGAGGACTAATAGCTAATCTAAAGACTTTTTTTAAGGCTCTGAGAGTGCCCATGGTAAAATAAACCTGTATATCCCTTTTTCCTCTTTCCTTACTGAACTTATTCTTTGTTCCCCATTGAATTTTATCAGTAAATCTAAGAGAGTAAGCAGTCACCATAAAATACTAATATAATTTTTGGAAAGCTATTTTCACTCTTTTTTTTTCTTTTTCCTTGAGTGCAAGGAGTGTGAGCAATTATTGATTGACACAATTATTACTAAAATTGATTCTTCTCCTTAATAATCCATTTGATTCCATACTGTAGTTAACACTGAAAGCTAATTTCATTAGGGCCCATCTTGTCTATTAACATTTCTGTCCAAAATCTTTATTTCACATATGGAACTCTTTCTTTGCAAGCTAAGGCTAAACCAAGATATTTGCAACCATAATTTTTTTCCTTTTCTAAATCTTTAAGTTAGTTTATGAAGTGATGGAAAGTATGTGAAAATTAAAAAAAACCCAAACTATATTGCCTCCATAAAATATAATGCTTTTACAGTTCGTGGGTTATTATGTTCATTGTTTTCCACCTTTTTATGAGAAATATTTATGGATTGATTGCCATTTTAGATATACGTATATATTTTTATTGACAGGATGGAGATTTTGCCAAACCTCAACACATAAAGGAAAAACCAAAGGATGCGGTTGTTATAGGACAATCAGTATTTGCTGATTTTGGTGAGATACCTTTTTCCTTCTCGCAAATATTTGATTTAAATGTATTTTCTCTGTATGCAAGAATGTCTTATTTATGCAGTTGAAATTATTAGGGTGATAATACCATTTTAAGAAAACTCTTTCTAAATTTTATATTGCTAAAATGTTTTATGTGTACTTTATCAATTAATATCTGAGATATACACAAAATATTTAAATTGTACTGCTTATTAAAACGCAAATATCAATTATTAAACTTTCTTAACTTTCTGGGAATCTAATTTCGAGCAATATTTTTGTGGAGAGAATTAATACTTTTGCTTTTAATTAAGGGGCCAAATTAGTATGTATTTTTGACAATTCCAAAATGTCATTGTTATCATTACATTTATGACACCAGGTGCTTGATGTGTTAATTTTAATGTTATTTTGTATCCGATCATCAACATTTTGATCTCTTTTTATTTTATGTCCTTGTTAAAGCACCTTATTGTATATTTAGTGTGATAAACCTTCAAATTACTAATAATATTAAAACTTAAAAGTCCACATTCAGAATCTGGTTTCCGTTAAAAAAAAAAAGAACATAATTGATCCCACATTTTGTTTCCTCTGATCAGAATATAAAGTGAGTTTTACATCAATTTTCCATCTAAATCGTGGTCAGTAACCAAGGCTGAGAGAAACTGAGCTGAAGTTTTGGTTTTTAAAATGTCAGCGAATTATCTACATACTTTGGTCTTCCCAGTCACAATTGTTCTCGTCATCTAATATCTCTAAAGTGAGGGAGAGGATTTGATTAACTAGATTTTTCTTGGCCTTTTGACTCAGATTAAGTGTAAGAGTTGATTAACCAAGATCTCGAAAATGTTATGAGTCCTAAAAAAACACGGTGCCTGTTTATTTGAAAATAAACACCGGCAGCATTCTACCCTAATCTGTTCCCTTCTAAATAAATCCCATTAATATTTTCCTGCATTTATGCTTGACCTTTAATTAAATACCATTACTCCCAAGTAAGTGTCCAGGGAGCCTCTGAACTGCAACTCTTGCTATAGAACGAACTAAAATCAGGCTAAAACGAGGTCTTATTTTAATGATTCTATTTGCATGCTACCGAATCCGCTAGGGATTTTTGGCAGCTTGCGGGAATGTTTACATATACTGTTCCCTTCTTTAAAAAGAAGATCCATTATAGGCAAGTGAAGGTGGAAACATAGCCATCCTAAATAATATAATGGGGTTGTTCTTGGTTTTTAATCCTTGTTTTTTTGGGGAGGGGCAGGGGATTCTAATAACCTGTCACCGAGAGCTGTTCACAACTCCTCAAAAGCAGATGGTCTTGGGAAATGGCATGAATGCTAATAAGCATGAAGCCTACATCAAATACATTCATTTATTTATGAGAGATGTAAACAAGTTAATCTGATTAGAATTTCATCGCACCGAGTGCAAGCTCCTTGACAGCCAAAGGGCAGGTGTAATTTTAGAAATAAGCCGTATTTTTAAGAAGACATGAATTCGCTTAAAATTTCAAAAGATGCGCGAGAGACGCTTCTAAGCAAGGATTCCAAACGTGTCACATTATCATTCCATGTAGAGTTATACTTTCTAAGCCACAGCATCCTACCAAAGATAGTAACAGCCGCCCTACAAGTAGTCCTCGAGATTCCATGTAGAACAGCTCATTTCGTGACCGTTCAAAGTGGCAACGGCACTGGAAAAAAAAGTGACTTATGACTGTTTTTCACTCTTATGACCTTTGCAGCAGCCCCATGGTCACATGATCAAAATTCAAACACAATTCGCTTAAAAACTGTGGCAAGAAAGATGGTAATATGGGGCAAAACTTAAGAAATGTCTGGAGAGAGAGAGAGGGAGGGAGGGAGGGAGAGAGAGACAGACAGAGAGAGAGAGAGAGAGAACACCAAGGACCCCACAGTTGTCATCCTCCTCCTCCTTTCCACAAACGCTACTCCCTTCTAGCACTGATGATGTTACCTAGCTGGGTAATGAAACATCTGCAAGAAAACAACCAAGCTCAGAGCACGAAATATCTCACAGTCCTCCTCCTCCTCCTCCTCCTCCTCCTCCTCCCCCATCATTCTACAAACCCCTACTCCCTTCTAGTACTGATGATGTTACCTAGTTGGGTAATAAAATGTCTGCAAGGAAAAAAAGCAAGCTCAGAGAGCACAAAGTACGCCCACAGTCCTCCTTCTCCTCCTTCTCCTCCTCCATCATTCTACAAACCCTACTCCCTTCTAGCACTGATGAAGTTACCTAGTTGGGTAATGAAACGTCTGCAAGAAAACAAGCACAGAGAATACCAAGGACCCCTCAGATAAATAAATATGATCTAGATAGAAAGAGCCACCGCTGTTGAGGCTGTTTTGATCTTCCATGAAATTGCATGTTATTTATTTCCAAAACAGTCTTTTGCAATTTAAGTTTAATGGAAAATCCAAAAGAAAAAGAAAAAAGAAAAAAAACACAGAAAAGCCAATTTCCTTAATAGAAAATAGCAGCATGGGGGAGGTAAACCAACCCCATAGCATAAACGAGCTATTTCCTCTTCTGTGAAAACTATTCTCAACCTCTTGCGCTCCTCTTTATTGAATGAATTTAAAAAACACACATCTTTAATCTCCATGTTGTTCCTCCGCTACAATTTACTTCTTAATTGGTTTAAATTTTAATTTAAGCTTTGTTTTAAAATGATATTTCAGCATTAACAAAACTGAGAGATACTGTTTCAGCCACTTCAGTGCAGCGAACATTAATAACTGGCAAATTAGTTGTCCTTTGGCTTATTTTTATTAATTCTTGTCCTTGGTGGTTATCCATTTTGGAGTTGCAGCTTCTATAGTATACTTGCATGCGAAGTGATTTGAGCCAGGACTGATTAAAATATGTTTTAATAAGTTTACTGATAATGTCTAGAGACCGTTGCAATTTAGGAACGTATTCATCTTCCACTGTTGGAGTTAAAAACTCATTTGGGAGCTGCTACTAAACTACATTTTAGGTTTAATAAAAAGCTTCATTCTTGTTGTAAGCACAAACCAAAGTATACGTTTGTGTCTGAGTTTTTCATCAATGGTCTTTCTACAGAGGCAGAATGCGTTACAAAAATGCAATTGCAATAGTAAAATAGTAAAATAACAACAAATCAATAGCATGAAAACAATACAGCTCCTGGAAAGATTTACACATTATTATGGACATTTTGTTATTCTCTGGCTCATCCTAGTCATGAGATGAAACGAAGGCAACTCACAATCTTAATTGTCTCAAAGGAAAATTAATTGAAATCCCTCTTGGGTAGAATCCATTCAGTGAGACCAGTTGTTATAGCAGACAATTTTATGAATGATGCTTAGATCGGACCGTTCAGGATTGTCCAAGCCCAAAATTTCAAGCCTGGAGGCATAGGGAATACTATTGAGAGTGATGGAATGGAGTACTCTTCTCAAGAAATACCTTCGAACCCGCTCAATCGTGTTAATGCCCGATATACAGTGCGGGGTCCAGGTGGACGAGCTGCATTCGAGAATTGGTCTGGCAAAGGATTTGTATGCTCTAATTAGCAATGCAATGTTACCGGAGAAGAAGCTTCGCAAAATAAGGTTAACAACTCTTAATGTCTTTTTGCCAATGCTGTTACAGTGAGCTCTGGGGCTTAGATCATTTGAGAGGAGTACTCCTATATCGGTCCTTGTTTCAGTCTCGACCTACTTCTAAGCAGAGGCGCGATGGCTCGGTGGTTAAAGATGTTGAGCTTGTCAGCTGGAGATCTGATAGCCCAGTTTGAGATCCCAGTGCCACGCAGTGGGATGAGCTCCCATTCCTTCAACTGCCCACCAGCAGTTTGAAAGCGTGCAAATCATCTTCTTCCTAGCGTATTTCCTCAGGTGCAGAGGATAATTGAACACCACTTTGCACGGTCAGCTGTGTCTCCAGGGCACAGGCCCGTGGCTTGCCCGTCTTTGTTGATAGTGTCTTGCCATCTATGTTTTGGACACCCACGAGGTCCCCGGCCATTGACTTCTAGTTGGTAGGCAATCTTGGCCACGGTGGAAGGTGCTGCTCTCTGGACATCTCCGTATCAACGGAGTCGGCCTTCTCTCAACTTCTCTATAATTGGTGCCACACCAAAATGTTGTTGGGTGCAAATGCGAGTAGATAAATAGGTACCACTTCAGTGGGAAAGTAACAGCCTTCCGCATGCCTTTGGCATATAGCCATGCTGGCCACATGACCACAGAAATTGTCTTCAGACAACACTGGCTCCCTCGGCCGAGAAACGGAGATGAGCATCGTGCCCTATAGTCGAACTCGACTGGACAGGAAACCTTTCCCTGTTACTCTAAGCCTCTTGGTTTAGAGCAACCCAGGGTTTTCTACAAATTCTGCACATTCTCAAGATGCATAAAATTAGAGCTTTCTTTGGGGAGCCGCCTCTGTGTGTGTGTGCGTGTGTGCGTGCGTGTGTCCTGTTATTTTTCTTGAATGAATACCCAACATTAAATCCTTGATTTTTAGATATGCAAAGCCACAGTTAGATATGCACAGCAACAGTTTAATCTGTCAGAAGGTACTGTTAACCTTTAAAGGAGCGTCAGATTCATTATCTACCAACTTAGAATGCTAAAATGATTTTTTTTAAGTCACAGCCATTTATGCCTCGAAATCCCAAGGGGAAGAACATTGTGAATTGAGATGCTGTGATTTTATTTCTTATAAAGCCATATATAAATTTATATTATATACATTTCTTACTTGGTTCTTAATTGGTGTTGTGGCTGGTTGGCTGTGCGGTCAATTTGAATCCTGAGGGGTTCGTAGTCTGGTTGTAGGTCGATAAATCCCAATTACAGTATGTAAATAGAAATCCCTATTATATTTGAACTGAACAACAGGTCTCTTTAGCACTCTAATTCCAGCCACCCTCATCCTACCCACTCCTCTCCATCTGATTTAAGGTTAGATAGCTTTTGTGATAATATATCAATTTGGTGTAATAGTCCACCATCAGAATAATAAATCTGCAATTCTTCCATAAATAGATGGAACTGCTTTTATACAACCCTTTATGGGTGGGTCTCAAATTTGCCTCCTAGACTTTCATTAAACGATTATTAGTTATCTCAGCTTTCAGTGGGTAATATATTTAAATTGTTATAACATTTGCTTACAAAATTTTTGCTTAATTAGCTTGGCAAGGCTACCTAGTCATATTTTTATAAGCTCCCGAAAGTTGATTGAGATGATGATGAGGTGTTAATGTAATCCTGTCTTCATCGCTGTCACCTGCTGGGGTATTTACATCCCTAATTAAAACGGACAAAACCTGGGGAGGTTTTTATTTAAAATGAAAATTAAACCAAATAGCAACATAAAAGTTATCTCAGTAGGTAGCAAGCAGCACAGAACTGCAATCAAGGAGGCCGCAACAAACATTTTGTTTGACTTCAGAGTAGACAGCAAAAGATAAACAAATGACCTTTTTGCAAATATAAATATAGTATTTGTATTATATGAAGTACAATCCGAAAACTTTTTAGAGATGATGGGTTTGTTGGTCTTCAGTGCTTTATAAAAAATATTCAAAGATTGATGATTACAGTATTATTCATTATTGATTTAATTTGGTCCATAACTTCGGAAAGTATTTGTTTAAATAATTGTATCATGATGGTTTCTATTTAGTTAGAGTCCTTTTCATCATAATAAAGTGTTTTTCATAATATACTGATATTTTATAAGAGTATGTAAGGATACTTTTTTGTTTGCATTCTAATTTCTTACAGTTATTGCCTAAGAAGTCTTCAAACTATACTATTGATTAATCGCATAATTAGTACTTGTTGGAGGCATTATATATGCTTAAAATATTTATGGCATGTTCTCATAAACATCAGTTAAATTTCATAAGTATATAGACAAAGGCATAAAAGCACCACTTAACTATTTAAGAAATTAAAAGACTAAAGGGCAATGTGTGTGTAAAAAAATTTTTTTGGTGGGACTGCACCTACATAATGGCATTTCTTATCTGAATTTTCACACATACATTCTTCCATATATTCCCAACCCTGAAAAACAACATTTTTTTTTGCTGAAAGAAACTTACTTCTTTCCCTGGAATTAGTTGCTATGTAGATTTTACCTTTTTAACCAGAGGAATTTATAAAGACAGCACGCAAATGGGAATTTATAATATCCTGGTCTCCTTTTCTTTGTGGCAACTGTAAGAGATATCTGTCAGATACAGGAATATTCAGGCCAGAAACTCTTTTGTGAAATCAACAATAAAAGATGTTAATGTAGTTACTCTGAATCATGAATGCAACACCCCTTGTCCTTCTCATTTCATTCATCATGTATCATCATGCCTGACTCAATTTTTACAGCAATTACAATTTGGAAGGGTTGCAAAACAGGCTGACAAGGTGAAAGGATCACAACGTCTCCATAATTATTATTTTTTTATTTGTTCACACAGAAAACTACAGAAAACTACAAAAACAAATATAGGAAAAATAGGGGAGGGAAAGGGGAAGGGAAGGAAGAAAAAGTTTAATTTTTTTCCCATCTCAAACAGAAAGTCCAGAAGCTGTTTCCAAGTAGAAACAAAAGTAATTGTGTTTTTGTCTCTTATCAAAGCAGTCAATTTAGCCATCTCTGCTAACTCCATCAATTTTTGCAGCCATTCTTCCATTGTGGGGATCAAAGTGTCCTTTCATTTTTGTGCATAAAGTAATCTTGCTGCCATCAACATACATCACATCAAAGTTCCGATTTTTTCCCCCAAGTCTTTTTGCATTAAACACCCCCCCCAAAAAAAGTTTCTGGTTTTATCTTTATATTCCCTTGAAGAATCTTCTGTGCTAGAATAGGAATCCTACTCCAATATTTCTTTCCTTTACCACGTCTTCTTCTTATGCCATATCCATCATTGGACATTGGCAATCATGCTGGCAATCCCGTTTTTATCGACAGCTTCATGAAAAAAATGCAGTTAAGTTTTGTTGCAAACCGGTCCCTTAGATTTTGAAGCCATTATGATGTTCTTCTCATTTGCCTTCACATTTGCCTTCTTCAGTCTTTCCCTGGAGGATTAAATGAAGTATGCCGTATTGTTCCAGGTGTTGCATCACATGCCCAAAATATTCTAATTTTTGCTTTTTTATGGTTTGGATGATTTCCTTTGGCTTTCTCAGGCAGCTTTCTCAGGCAGCCCGGGTAAGCTTGTCAACAACTTCTCTTTAATTACCAGGATGCTTCTTTTGTTTACAACTTGCCAACATTTATTCTCTCTGTCTGTACGTAGTTGTTTTTTCCCCCCTAGTGATAAAAAGCACATTTTTGTAGTCCCGCTAAGCTGAATTATTTTTATTTTCCTCTCGTTTTTGCCAGATGGCGACGGGCAGACCGAACATTTGCTGCCAGCTTGTGCAGATACAGCTTGTCAAAAAAGTGTCATCTACCTATCTAAACTGGGACTGGATGAGGTACGCTGTGCTGCTACTGTATCTTGAATTTGAACGTGTCGTATATGAAAAATGAGCCAGTAACAAGGTTTGACGTTACCCCCAAGGGCACAGTAACGAGGGACCATTTTATAAAGCAGTCAAGTTTGCTGTAGCAAAGACAGAAGTATAGATAGTCTTTGCCTTACAACAACAGTCAAGCCCACACTTCATGACTATTTATGATTCTCCTCCCCCTTCTTTGCAACCCTGAAGCTGACCTGACTGAAGCCATTTTTGACCACTTCAGTGTTGCCACACTGGAGCTGAGGGATAGGGAGCGGGGATTGGAGATAGAGGGGATGCTGTAGCCAAAACAATATATTTTCTCTTGGGAACCAAGGACATTGTCACACCTGGTGGGAGGAAGGTGGAGTGATTCCACCTGGTGCCAATCTGCACCGGGATTGGACCATGTGACTGGTTGTTTCAAGAAAGTAGAAAAACTTTTAATTAGGTGAAAACCGCGGAAGACTACAGCGTCGGCTTTCACCATTTATGTGCCAGTATGATAATTCCAATTCTGGTACTCTTTGAGGAATCTACCTCCCTCAGAGTTTTGCTTGCTATGGATTTATTACTGAGAACCCTGACATTCTTATTATTGTTTCCAGTGGTTTCCAGTGTTGCAGAATTTCTCCGATGGCGTAAATGTATGGGGTTTTGTTCCACATAGCAATGATCCAACCACAGATGAAATTTCCTTTCCAATCACTCTTCATATTGGAGATTATAACATGGATGGCTATCCGGATGCCCTTGCTATACTGAAAAACACGTCAGGAAGGTACGGTACTGCCAGTCAATGGGACTTTGGAGGGAAGGGTGTAACATTTTTTCCTTGCCATAGTTGTGCATCTTTCTTCCACCTTAAAATATCATAGCAGCCTCGACCTTCCCTGTGGGACTGCACTTCCATTAATTGCCAATCCTACAATCCGCTCCAACACCAGCTTGGGAATGCTGCCTTGTAGAATTAAGCTCCTTCCTTCTAAACACAGCGCTTGAACGGCTTTAGAATGGGTCTGTTTTTGTGTTCTGGGTGGCCTATTTTATTTTTTTTCTGCTGCTAAACAGCATTTTAGAAGTGGAAGTCCAGGAAGCGAAGTGCATTACGTTTTCACTGTTTTCTGCCTGCCTGTAGTCGTCGTGTAAAAAAAAAAAAAAGCACAGATAAATTTCCTTCTTATTTTTCCCAGCATGCCCTGTCATTCTTCACCAGTTGCCTTTAGAGGGATAATTCCTGTGATGGTTTGAAAGGCTACACCCATGCTGTGTCCCATGCCTCTTTTTTTTTGATATATATACCGATTCCTTCCTTCGCTGTTGAAACTGGAGATTTTCAAATGTTAAATATTAAAATGCAGCTCTAGTGTTAAGATTAGGACAAAAGTCAATAAGGCTAACAGGATTTTTGTTCTTGAGGGGTGTTGCCAGTTCCTTTGTTGCCTGGAGCCCTTGGTAAACACTGACCTATTTCATTGTAATAGGATGCACTACAGGTGCATTTTCTGGTAGTTGACACAGTATTTCTTGCTCAGTCATCAGCTTTCCACTTTCAAAATGCCAACAATGCCACGAAGCAGCTCGCTTTTCTTTTGTGCAAACATCTGGAGATCTTCAGCCCTAAGAAGCAATACCCTGGAGCTCTCCCACGAACATATGTGTTTGGGATTTGAAAGTTTATATAACTGCATGGAAAATATTTACAGCAAGCATTCTTCGTTTACTATATCCTTGATCAAATGACATAAACATTCGAAGTGACACATGGCATGAAAATAAACGAATTTGATCATTATATTCTGTTTCTAAATTGGGGCTTTAAAAAAATCCCAGTTCTTAAAAATGTTCTAAAGAGGAATTTGTGGTGTGGATAACCATGGAAATATAGAATAAGGGAAGATTGGAACCATTATTATTATTATTATTATTATTATTATTATTATTATTATTATTATTATTACCATCATCATTATCATTATTCGCACAGTCAGCCAGGTATGTTCAGTCTGGGTTTGGCATTTTTGTCTACCTATCGAGTCCTTACAAAGGACCTGGGATAGGCAAAGTTTGAGGGTGTTACAGACATCGCTGCAGAATGGAAACTGTTCCAAGTAAAGCTGCCTTCTGCAATTGACTGATGGCACATTTGTCAATGCCTGTGGTGTTCAAATGATGCTCCGTTTGTTTTGGAACTGCACCTAAGGCGCCTATCCACTATCCAAACTTTTTTGTCTTTTCTTATCGACAACTATTAAGTCTGTGCTGTTATGTGGGCAAGTGCCTGTCTATCTGGATTCTGAAGTCCCAGAGCAATTTAACTTTTTCATTTTCTATGACTTTTCCTATTTTACGGTCCCGCTAGTTCATGCCTACAGGCAAATGATTTATTGTTGTTGTTATTGTTATTGTCATGAAAGACAGGTGGGTGGGGAGAGTTTGTGCACTGTTTCCTTAATCCCAGATTGAGCATATATGATTGATTGTGCCCGTGAAATTTCTGTAAGCCTCTCCCTCAAAAGAAATGCTGGTTTGTGTGCACAGTGTCAGGAGCAAGGTACTTCTATTTTTAATTGAGATGGCATTTTATTATTAATATTGCGTCAGTCATGCTACCTAAGGCAAAATATGCAAATAGATGCGCTAACTATCATTTTTAAAATACCGTAATTTTTGATTGTATCAAATAATAATAAGTACTATTGATTGAAGTTCAACATAGTCATAATTTCGTTATAAACCACAGCACCCAGATTCCTCACCGCTCAGCTGCCTTTCCCATTTTTGCTTCAGGAAGACAGTACCGATTAATCATATCTTCAATGTTAGGAGGTCATAAATTTTTTTAAAAATAAAATATGCAGCCAGTTTGTCAGATTTAAAGCCCCTGAACGGAGCATAGGTTTCTACTTTTAAAATACAGGGCGATACAAGATATAGAAAACTGTTATGACTCAAGTACAACTGTTACTTGCCTTAAATTAGCATTCTCTAGTCTACCTGGCATAGTCTACTTGATTGTACTTTAGGAGTACCCGGGTTAAAGTACGTTTGTTTTCAGAAATCCCGGTGTTACTAGTTAATTTAGAATTTACAGGATAGATGCCAAAGCATGATGACCCTAAAGGAGCCACTAAGACTGAAATAAACTGAGTTGTGTTTATGAACATTGTCCCTGTAAATCATTGATGGTTCCTGCTCACTCGGCTACAGTGAGTCTGGAGTTGTGAAGAAGATGTACCTTGGAATCATGCTCAAAGAGATCCCTGCCATTGGGAGATTTTATAATCCTTCAACTTCTCTTTCCCCCAAATGTTGCTGCTTAAGGGTTAGGGTTAGGGTTATCTCACAGCTTGAACAGCTAAATAGGAAGAACTGGCTTCCCTGGGCTAGCCTCCCTTACAGATGTTAATTAAAAAAACACAGGTCAATCATAGGACAAGGTTAGTGTAATTAGTTCTAACAAGTCATCTGCATTGCAGTAGAATTGTGGTAATTCATCCATAGACATCTGGTGTGTAAGGTCGAACAATGTCACATGGATCATACTTTTAATTCTATCAGTCGCAGTGAATAATGTAATTTGCATCACGCAATCAAGGCAAAAATTACTTGTTTGTGTCATTTGTGCAAAGATGTGGTGACACATGTGGCATTACTTGCTCATACCATGGACTCCCATGATACAACGGGTCAGAAGGAACGGGTCAATAACATGAATCAATATTTCAGAATTACTACCACAGTTAGTATCTAGACAGAGGATTGCAGTAGTACGTCACTGATTTCCAAAGTCTATGTGCATTTTCCCCCCATTATTTCTTTTCCTTTAATAACACCATTCTGTTTTGCTACATCTATTTTCAGTTAGTTTTGCGAAAAGGAGGACAGGAGAATTTAAAAGTAGCTTAACTGATTTGGCACCCGGAATTTGGAAAATTGTTTAATATTCTTCCCGTGGGGATTTATTAAAATACAATGCTTCTAAAAATATTTTATGAATATCAGTGCATCTTCAGAAATATGACTCCCAAAAAGTGATTGGTTACATGGTAGGTTTTGATTGTTTATACATTCGCATGTCATTTCTACTGTGGGGTTCTTTTAATGGTTATCTTTTAACGTTTTTAAAGCTGTGTTTAGTTTAATGATTATAATTAAAGTCATTTTTTGCTCTTGATGGCTTGCTGAAGTAAAAACAAAAAAGTATATCTACTTATCCTTTTAGCATGTTGGACTATCTTCTCCAGATTCATCCCCCATCCTTCCTCTCGGTGTTACTTGCATACATATTTGTCCTTCGAAAACTCCACTTAATTGGAGGCTCTGCATATAAAAATGTTAATACTAATAAGAATGTCGCCTTCTGATGCCATCAGCATTTTACCTTTCCATGGGTACAGTAATTCCATAACGTCGGATTTAAAAAGCTCTTTTGAACTCAAGCTTTCATTTCTAAAATGCTTTAGGTGACCATTAGTTCCAAATATTTAAAGGCAGACCTAAATACTTACTGAAGTGACAAGCGTGTCTTCTTCAATAAAAAAAACAGAAATTTGAAGTATTTATCTTTAAGCTTCCTGAACAATTCCAGTGAGCAAAAAAAAAACCTCTGTTGCTTTTTTTATGACTGATAAAAGCAAATTGCTGTTGGGTGTAGAGTAACGTTACAAGCTGTCCTCGGCTAAGTGAGACTTTCAAGTGAATTTTGCTCCATTTTACGACCTTTCTTGCCACAGTTGTTAAGTAAATCACTGCAGTTGATAAGTTAGTAACCTGGTTGTTAACTGAATCTGGTTTCTCCATTGACTTTGCTTGTCAGAAGATTGCAAAAGGGAACCACATGACCCTGGGACACTGCAACCGTCAAAAATATGAGTCAGTTGCCAAGCATTTTGAATTTTGATTATGTGAGACCTGTCATGCCCCTAGTGGAGACGGACTCTGAGGGAGAGGAGGAACAGCCAACAGGGAGTGAAAGTGTGGCTCCGGAGGTTGTGGAGGAGGCTGTGGAAGGGCAGAGGCCGGTTGGGTAGTCAGAGGATGACCCAGGCCCATCCCCTCTCCATCCTAGGGCACGCAGGGAGGAGAGGATCAGGGAGAGACATGGTCTACTGGGGAGGAGAGGGCCTTGATCCTCTTCATGGGCTGCAGCTGTGACAACTGGATAAGAGGATGGACATGTGTATGGGCGAATGCTGGAAACAAAGCATGGAAATATCTCTAGTTTGTGGTTCCTCTCTGAGTTTGGCATCCTTCCCGGTGTGTGTTATCTGTGGGCATCCTCCAGCCCTTATTTTGCCTGATTCATGTTGTTTTTTTCCCCTCCTCCTTGTAACTGGTTGTGTGGGAGTTTTTTGTCTTCCATCAAAGATATTTGGAGCTTAGAAGGAAACGGAAGGAATAAAAGGGGCTTCACCGGGTTTTTGTGTCTGTGTTTATTTTGTATCCCCACCCTGAGTCATCACAAGTCCATAAGTGTGGAAAGTGGTCATAAGTCACTTTTTTCAATACCGTTGTAACTTTGAATGTTCACTAACTGAACTGTTATAAGTCGAGAACTGCCAGTAATATGGTTGATAGATTCCTGACAAAAAAGCTAGAATTTTTAGGAGGAGCATTCTCAGAACATTATTCCTCTTCTATTATCCTCTAAGGCACATGCTTCTAGGTCAACATGCACTTACTTACATGTAAAACAGAACAGAGTAGAATAACAGAGTTGGAAGGGACCTTGGAGGTCTTCTAGTCCAGCCCCCTGCCAGGGTAGAAAACCCTACACCA